ATATACTTAAATATAATAAAACAATAAAAATAATAAAAATAATATAAACTATAAAAATAATAAAAAGAAATAAAATAGATTACAGACGTTAAAGAAATTACAAACGAAACAGAATAAACAGGGTAAACAGACTGTATAGAAAATACAGAGGGAATAGACGTAACAAAAGAAACAGAAATTACTGCTGATCACTATGTGGCACAGTAGTGACATCATCTAACGTGAGATCATTATTGATTGACATATCCCATGTGATATTTGGAGTTGTAATTTCTTCTGTTGACAACGTGCTATGCCAACTATGAGATGTGTATTTCTAAACTATGATAATATATTCTAAAAGGATAATGCTCGCCCTCACAAAACAAAACTTGCAAAGAAGTTTCATACAGAAAATAGTTTGCATGTATTTCTATAGCCTGCTTAAAGTTCAGATCTCAATCCTATTGAAAATCTATGGGCTGAAATCAAGAAAGCATCTGTAAAAGGAAAAATTTGCCTTTTAACCTTGCTCAACTTGACTGACATATTATAAAAGCATAGAATTAAATTCCAATAAAAACTATAGAAAATTTGGTTGATAGTATATCGCAGTGAATTCAGGCTGTAATTAAAGACAATTAAAAACCTGACCAAGTACTAATTATTTAATACCAAATTTGTAGCATATTGTACTTTAATAAATATATTAATAAAGTTTTTTAATAAAATTTAAAAAAATTAAGTTTTATATTGAGCCAAAAAGCATTCAGAGACTTTTAGTAGGGGTCTGTATTTTCAATTAATCAATTTGATTTTCTAATATTTTTAATTTTGTAAAAATATATAATAGAGTTAAAATACAATACAAAAGTCAATAAATATTCTTTAATTAATCTAATTATTTAGATGTAATACCTTATTGTAATGTTTAATCTCTAAAAGTAAAAAATATAAAAATGAAATCAACTTTCCGTTGAAATGCGGAGCTAAATTAAATTTTATTTTAAGATATAATGATTTTATAATAATTAAACTAAAATACAATAAATATTGCATTTGTAATTACTTCACGAATAAGTTCTTTAAAAGTAACATTGTTAAAGTAATGAAATGATTTTAATGCTAGGTATTTCTTTGAACTTTTTTAATTTGCATGGTAAACTTCCAATGCTGCCTTACCAATCTCTTGAAAATTGCTAAATGATTGTATTCAAAGTATTTAAAACATTGCTTGAAATATATTTTTCAATCACTCATTTGAACCATTAGCAGATTGCATTTGATTTTTTTTTTAATTGGATAATTGAGCAAGCGAAATGATCAAAAATTTTTATTCGGTAGATCAGCTTATTATAAATAATAAATTGTGTAACTGTAAAAAAATTTTTTTTTTCTAAATAGTACTTCCTTTCTAAAAAAAAGAAATATGAAAAAATTCTTCTTCTTATTGACTTATACTAACTTAATAAAAAATTATAATAAGGTAAAATGGCTCATTTCATTGAATTTTTTTGAGATTATCATGACGTCCTGCAGGAATAAACGATTCAACTCTATAGAGCAAATAACTTAACATTAAAATGAAATACAAGTTAAATGGTTTATTAAATAAAATTGTAAAAACGAAAATTAAAAAATCCTTCATTTTAAGCATTAATACATATCACATGACAATATATATATATATAAATATTTTTATTATCTTTATATATAAAATTGCAAGTGATAAAGTTCAATAAAATTTAAACTAACATTTAACAAACTAAAATCCTCGAAAATAAATTTTACTAAATTGCTTAGAATTTTTCATGAGACAATAATTGCAAAAATAATTTTCCGGCTAAAGGTTTTTTTAATTTAACTCCGGCCGAAATTCAATATCCGGACAGAATTAAAGATTTTCATGACATTATCTAACTCCGGCCAAATTTATAGTAATCTCCCAAGTTAATTTTAACCGGTGTTACGAATCGTACTGCGCCTCAGATAATTAACAATGCGATTGTCATGAATCGAATAATTTTTCAATTTTTCCATTATTTATAACTATACAGTTTAATTCTATTTTACACTTACAAGCTTCTTCTTTTCTTCATACAAGGTTCTGATAGTGATAACTAACTACATGAGTGAATCGTGATAATAAATCGTCTTGATTCCAGGCCTAACACCTGTTAAAGAATTTAGGTTTCTATTTCTCAGTCTCACTTAGATCTAAAAAGGCCGTTGAAAGTGAAATAAAAGATTTTTCATTAATTAAATTTTATTAAACAATTTCTTTTTTAATAAGTATGAAATAACGTTAAATATCAAATTGTTTATAGAAAATAGGTTTCTTTTTGATTAAACACTCCCTCTTAGTTTGAAAGTATTTTCGGCGTATTTTTTGAACTTGAAACGGTGAACATGCATATTTTGCACTAATAATTACTCTTTTAAAATTACTATTATCATATAAATTTTCATACAAAGAAAAAAAAGATTGCTAAATATGGTTCTTTTGATCATATCATAACGTTAATAATAAAATAGTTATTTATTCGAATAAATAAAATAGTTACCAACTTGATGAAATGAGAAATACTTTTCATAATATAAGTTTGCCTTAGAATCTTCAAAAATTGCACCTTATTGTCGGATTAATGCTCATTTTATTTAAACATCCATCATTTCTCATATATTGCATCGTTTAATGAACACTTTAAAACAGTTTAATTTAAAAGTTTGGGGGCAGAGAAATAAAATTCAATTTTTCGTACGATGTGAAAATTTTTTATTTTTGAGATGTTTAAAATTTATGAAAATAGAATTACTGGCAGGCAGGCAATGCAATTGGATTAGCTCATATCGGAGTTTTGCTAAATAAATCAAGTTACGAATATAGTAAATGATATGATCCGTAACGTGATTTTAATAGCAACCTCCTATATGTTTATTTAATCAAATGTAGTTCACTTGATTATTTGAAAATTTATCGCAAATGCACTTATTTACTAGTTCACTTGCTCATAGTAAAAATTTAGAAACTTCATTTGTACACCAGTGAATCTCAACAAAAACGTTCACGATTACATAAAATCTAAAGAAAAGAAGGCTATAAGTTTGTATGTTAGACTTTTTTAAATAATATGTAATATTTCGGTATGGTTATTTTTCCAAGAAAAATAGTACAAACTAATTTTTATTTTTTTTTTTCGAAAGAATAATTGAACTTCAAAAAATAAACATCTTTAACGAAAAAGTTTACATTGTCCAATGGTGATATGACATGCGTCATAAAAAGATATAAATGTTACATTTTATGAAACCTCTATATTCTTTTAAAAATTTATTTTTTTCTTTTTACAATAATAATTTAAACATCAAGGATCATATTTAATATTTAGTTTTTTTAATAAATTTTTTTTCATTGCTGAGAATTCTAATTTATCAGGATCCCATTCACCCTTTTTAATTAAATCATTAACCTTTTTTCGTGTTTCATCAACATCAGCATGATAATAACTAGTAAAATAAAAATTTTATATTAAATTAAACTTTAAAATAAATAAATTACAACCGATTTTGAGTAATAACTTACATTACATCAGGAAACCAAGTTTTCTTACGTCTTTGATATGGCAATAAGTAAAATAATTCTATTTCTTTCAAAATCTATTAAAAAAATTTTTAAATATTTGTTAAAATATTAATACAGTTTAATAATATAATATGATTTCAAAATCTAAATAACAACCTCCGCTTTATGCATCAAGTATGAATTTCTATTATTATCTTCATCAATTGCATTATTAAGCAACCCGATAAGTAAATTCAAAAGATATATGACGACAATGGAAACGAATAAAGTCAATAAAAAAACAAAGTATGAATTCTTTTTATATGACCAATTTCCCAAAGTGCCTAGATCACCTATAATAAATTAAATTATTTAAAAGAGTAAATATGATATGATTAAAAGATTGAATTACAATACTTTATATAAATATACCTGATAAGGTTAAAAATATTGCAAAAAGTGCAGTTCTGAAATCAGCAAACATATTTGTATTTTCGTTAGGTTTTTGAATAATAAATGGATTTGTACTAATTGAACCATCTTCAAGTATTTGATTATAAGAAGAAGCAATGTTCCAAGGATTATTTTGATCCTCATTTTTTGTATAATTATCTAATGAATATTCAAGTTTTGGTCTTAAGAGAATATAAAAGGAAAGAGCAAATCCAATAATTATAATAAACAAAATAAATAAAAAATAAGAAATTTTATTTGCAACATTTATAATAATTGTAAAATATACTCCAAAAGCTTCAAATACTCTAAAGAACATTAAGAATTTTAAAACTAAAATTAGACATATAAATGATCGTAAATATGTAGTTTCTTCAAATTTTTCAACAGAGAAATAACTAGTAACAGTAACCGATATAAAAAGATATGTTTCAAAATCTATAATAAAATAAATTAATAATTACAATGTTATTATTATTAAAAAAAACTTTCATTAAATATTTCAACGTACCAAATACAGAACAATTAATCGAGCAATTACGTCGGTATGAAAAAATAAAGTGAATTATGGCTAATAAAAATGAAGCAAAAAAAAGATAACCCCTAGTTTCAATATAATCTTCAGAAAGTATTGCACCAGCAGTGAAGCATCCAAATAAAACATTAAACCCCATCCAAATCATAGCAAAATAATATTTTCCATAAGTGTTCCACTTAAAATTAATTAATGCCTCACCACCCCAAGTTTTACAAATTTCACTAGTCCTTGTTATTGTGAATGGACTATGTTGAGGTTGAAATAATTCATTCAACATATTATATTTTTCTGGATAATTAACAAATTTGTAATAAGGTAGCATAAAGGTAATTGTAGGTTTTGAAGAACAAAACAATCTATAATAAACATAGGCAGCTCTTTCATAAATCATAATATTATTAATAATATTAAAATGATCTAAAGCATTATATATTAAATAAGTAAAAGGCAAGATATTAATAGATATAATGTATTCGATGTTTAGTAATAATTTTCCATATGATTTATTAACAATCCTTTTCAAAAAAAAATTATATTTTGTCCACGGAATAGATCGTGTTAAATTAACTAATTTAAAACCTTCATAAGGATAAAGATGTGAGGTATTCAGCCGTCCTATGTCATAATCAAGAGAATCTATTATCATGTCTGTATCACATAAATATTTTATGATATATTCAGGATAGTATTGGTTCAATAATGACATCGAATATGTGATAATGCTTAAAAACGCCTTGTTGTTTGCTAAATCTTGTTTAAAACAATCTAGGCATTTTTTATAAATATCATCAACTGATTCTATATCGTGTTCCTTAATTGCATTTATTAGTTTTACACCATATTTCAAAAATTTGTATCTATCGTTTTCTCCAAGTGAAACCCAAAAGGATTCATCAATATAGTATGCGAGCTGACGTTCTTCATTCAAACAAAAGAAAAAATGATTTAAAATCAAATCATCATCATCATTTAAGTGGAAAATAAAAATGCCAACATTTGTCAATATAATAATCTCTTTACTATGAAATATCTCGACTTTATATAATTTTATCTCCTTTTTATATTTGATATTTATAAATTCTTCGATTGTCTTATCATTTCTAAATACACGTAATCCAATAAATCCAATCATTTCATTAATCGTATAAATTTCCAGTTTAATACCCTTTAATTCATATTTATTAGTTTCTTCCTGTAATAAATTTGATTTATTATTATTATTATGTGATAAGAATGAACCCTCGTATTCGCTGTTGTCCTTTTCTATTCCGAAATATGCATTCCAACTTTCTGTGACTTCATCGTCTTCGAATTCCTTTAATAAATTGTGATTTATATCTAATTTTATCTCATCGAATTCAAGTTCGTCAAATTTAATTTTCCATACATATCCGTCTATTACCCCAAATATATATTTTTTTGATTGGTAATCATAAAGCAGACTTGGAATATTTGGTAAAATCTCGATTGTGTTATCTGGGCAAAGTTTCCGACAGTATTTATTAATAGTATCTCGAAGTTTGTTAATTGAATTATAATCAAATAAAGAAAGTAATAAACAATGTAGGCCGGCATCCTTCTTAATAAAATTATATATTTTATCTAAGTAAATTACTTTAATTAATGTCTTGAAATTGAAGTTATATTTTACAAAAAATTATTTATAAATTAAATATACCATGATTTTCAACTTTTAAATCAAACGACACAATAGGTGTCACTGGTTCAGTTGAATAAACTGTAATTTCATCATTTATTTTCAAATAAATGAATCCTTGATTACTAGACATTTTGATGTCTTTCGTTTTAATCTGTCGATTTATCAAATAAATTTTAGTTTGAAATTCCAATAATTATGATATATTTTAAAATATTATAATTACCCCGCTTAAACTTTTTGATATTTTTGACAAAATTTTATCATTAATAATGCTCCATTTATATATATTGTTATTTAAACGAAATTGAATCCTATCATGTTTTGAAATGCCTATCATCTCCGCTCCTTGAGGTACCTCATAAATCTTTTTACACTTCCACTTTGCTGTTTGTGTTGAATAAATCCAAATAATACTAGTAGAATACTTTTGATTACTCAAAAGGCTGACCGATTTATCAAAAAAAGGGTCATCTAATGTATTTTCATGTATACTATATAAAATAAATTCCTCTTTTGAATTAAAGTTACAGTAGAATTGATCAATTCCAAATTTAAAATATAACTCCATTTGATTTTGATTCTTCATATCAATTAACCCTAGAGAAATTGTCATATAAAATTTATTAATTACAATGATATACAAAATGATTTTAAAATTATCAAGATTTTTATTATTATACTTACTCAAGTAATCATGCACATTCCCTTCAATATGTGAACCATATTCAACATAACTGAGTACTAGTTTTTTCTTATCAGAGACACACATGTGAAAAATTTTTTTTTTATCTTCCTCATCGAATTCCTCAGTTTTTTTAACGCGAAAAATTTTATCGGAATTAATGGTACAATCAGGTTTAAGTTTATCTTCCTCATCTTCAACATTCCACCCGACAATTGTTTTGTCTTCTTCACTATAAGTTACAATGCATTTTGCATTCGGTGATATTTCAATAATAGTAATTGGACTACCTTTATGAGGTTTATCGGCTTTTGGGCTACCTTTATAAGGTTTATCGTCTTTGATTTGTTCTACTACAATTTTTATATCGTCTTTCATTACTGAAATAAGAAAATGTTAAATTTTGGAGGAGGGAGATAGCGAAATAAAAGCCCTTTTAAATATTTATTATCTTTTTTCCATACTCTTTATGACATAATTCATCTCCGGAAATGGCGCATGCATAAACACAACATACAAACGCCGGACCCACGCAGATCATTCATATAAAAATTTGTGTAACTATAATTGATCAAATTTAGTCGATCACATGATCGACATCCATTTAAAATGACATTTGCTATGATAGAAATGCGACATAAACGTACAGAGATGTGGGCTTAGCACTATTGAAAGCACCTTTATAAGCGTAGACAATCAAATTGTTACGCTATTGGAAGTACAATGCATATCACTGCGCATGCACACAAGCAAAGCAAAAATTTTGTGAATTAACAGTTTTAAAGCTTTTTATATAAATAGAATTTTATTTCTACATAAATTATTATACTCAGAAACTCTTGTTAACAAAAAACAATAATGTGAAAAAAAAATTATCTTAATGGAATTCATTACATTTTTGCAATATTTTGTTGATAATAATAGGGAAAATAAGGAATTTATATTATAAATATTATTAAACTAGATTTACTTCAGTCCCAAAAAATAATAAAATTCCTATTTTTTAATGTTATTTTTACTATAAACATTGTTAATGCGAAATTTATATTTTTCATAATTTTATAAACTAAGCTTAGGCTGGGCAAAAAAATTTTTTAGATTCTCGTGACCCGACCGCCTCAATTTTTACAAAAACTCATGATTTTTTTTTTATAGTAAAATTTTTTATCACGTGACTTTATATAATGAAAAATCGTAATAGCATATCATATACTTTATTATAAATAAATTTAACATACTATTTTCGTGATTTTTTTGTTATTTGAAACTTGATATTCTTAGCACGTTTTTTATTGTCAGAAACTGTCATATAACACTCACTACAGTAATAGTAATATCCTTCATTTACCTTACTATTTACATAATATAATATACATATAAAAAAAATTTATATATAAAAAAAAAAAACCGGGTGACCGTGTCAATTTTAAAATTTTGTCACGAGAATCTAAAAATTTTTTTTGCCCGGCCTTATAAGCGAGATTTCTTCAAATATTGTATGCAATTTTTTTTAATCTGCAAAAGATTATGTCTGAAGCCAATTTTTGATTTAAAATGAAGAATATGAAGTTTCTTGCAGCCAGATTTTTTTTTTTTTTACGATGAAAAAATTTATTGTAATTTAATCTAATAACATTTATTTTAGTAACGCCAAACTTTTAGTTTTATTGTAAAGCCATGCAACTTCGATTTTTTCGGTTCACGTCACCCTGCCGGGTCACTTTTTCAAATTTTAACAAAAAAAAGTTTATATTTAAAAAGTTTATAAGTGTCTATAAAGTGTAATTTTATTGGTAGATTAAAGCTTTATCGTAATGTATAATTCCTTTCTTACAATTCATTAGTTTCATGCAGCTTCCCAAGCAATACATTGTGATGAAATTTTTTCTACAACTAATGATTTTGATAGGTTAAACTTCACTTCGAAATCTGCTTCCCACCAGTCAGGTGATAAATATAGAATCGATATATTTCCAAAAATCTTTTATTTTTGGTTCTTTAAATCTTCCCAATCTTAACTTATTTTTACATGTATAATAGGCATTTTGACGATTTTGAAATGAAATATGATTGTCATATGATTAGGCCGGGCAAAGAAAATTTTTAAATTTTTAGATAAAATTTTAAAACTGACACGGTCACCCGGTTTTTTTTTTTCATTTTCATATGTAAATTTTTTTATATTTATTGTTATATTCTAAATTCTAAATCTTATATTACACAAATAAAGATAAACCTATGTAAATCTTTAATTCGCCGCTTTCTTTTAAACAAAATCTGATATGCCGATTTTATTATGTGAGGTCACATGATAAAGATTTTACTAATCTCGAATGAATTTGATACTCTTCCTCTTCGTGAGTGTCAATGATAAATTCGTCAACAACTTTGTTTTCCAACAATATAATCATCTAATTCTTCTATTTTCATCTGATCAAGTAAATTATTAACACTGGAAAAAGCATTAACACTTCTCGAGTAACGATATTGTGATAATTAAAGGTTTTCTTCATCATCAATATTCATTTGTTTATTTTCTTTCACTTTGGATTTTGTAATAATTGAATTTAATTGATCAACTACCCGACTCATGTCCGGACGATTAACTGGCTTAATATCCCAGCGCTCTAAAATCATATAAAAATTTAATGACCTTGAACATAAAATTTAGTTCTTAATTAGATAATATTTTTACCAGTATAAATGTTTTTATAATCTTTAGGTGTTCCAGGAATTATCCTTTCTCTACGTCCTTGTAAAATTTGTATAGCTAAACAAATATCATATTTTTCACCTTTAAAAACTTGGACGATCACTTGATAGTTCCCATAAGAGCACGCCAACATTGTAAATGTCACTCTTTTCATTTTGTGTATATTGTATCGATGTATTATCATTTTTTGTTTCCCTTATAAAACATTTTGGATCAATATAAGGAATTACACCAAACATTTTTAACTGATTAGTTATCGCTTCAATACTTGTTGATAAGCTAAAGTCTGTTATTTTAACTACGCCTTGATGGATTAATATATTGCCTGAATGCTATTTATATTAAAAAATATAAATATATTAAATATTTAAAAGAAATGTTCATAAAATTTGACATAAAGAACATTATACCAAATCACGATGTACAATTTCTTTGTCATGTAAACACGATAAGTTATATTTAACTCTCCAAGCGAGCTTATCAAAATTATCCTTCAAATAGTTTTTAAGCGCACCACCATCAGCATATTCCATTACTAACCAATAAATATTCAATTGATCATTTTGATTTTCTAATATTTTTTTTTTTATATATATATATATAAAATGTGTTAAAAATAAATTTAAAGTTAATAAAAAATTATAATTATTCTTAAGACATTTACCTTTGTTTGGTGATGTAATTCCCAAAATACTTATGATATTGCTATGAAAATTAACTTGCCGTTGAAGTTTAAGCTAGATTATTATGAGTAACTATAGTGTATATAATGATTTTATACAAAATAAACTAAAGTACTATATATTAATTACCTCACGAACAAATTCTTTAACAGTGACATCATTGAAGTTATGAAATGATTTTAAAGCTAGATGTGAACTTTTCCAATTTGCACGATAGACTTTTCCAAAGCTGCCTATACCAATCTCTTGAAAATTACTAAATTGTTTATATTCGTAGCATTCGATAAGTTTTCTTCTTGAGGTAAATTCTTCAATCCAATTAATCCATTCATTAGAATTGTTGGAAGCTTGCATGTTTAATTTATAAGTTCTGTATATAGCGAAATGAACTAAGATTCTTGGAGAAAAGAAAAAATATGCACGTGGTAAATCATGTTAACGTTTAATTTTTGTGTATGTAGTTAAAATTTGTACAATTGGCGCAGTTTGTGAAAAATCGCTGCCTCACCAAATTATTGAATCAATGAACATTACTAAAATATGGTGAATTAATTCGCATCTTTTAATAATATACTGTATAGCCTAAGGTTACCGGGCAAAACCCGGAGGTTTCGACAGGCATCGAAATCGAAACCCGTCGAAACGTTTTGCCAATATTTTTATTAAAGGCAAAATTGCGAAAGTTTCGACGGGTGGCAAAAGTTTCGACGGATGGCAAAACCCTTTGATATTAAAATACTATTTTTGAATTTAAAAATTTAATATTTTTTGTTTTACAAGATGAGAAAATCGTATATAGCAAAGATCACTTTTATAATATCATATATTTATATAAGAAAAAAACATCACATTGAAATTGAATTAATTTATTTTTCATCAAATCCAATTACATCATTTATCTCCCATATTTTCTTCATTAAAACACATGACAGTACTTATCTTCTTCATCCATTAAACTTTCATTTGAAAATTCATCATCTAGAGGTTGGAACCAAATTCGACATTCGGATTTAAACCCAGATATATCCAGTTTCGGATACAAAATTGGCCCAAAGCCGGGTATATGATATATTTATTTCGGATCCGATTTTTAAAATTAAGTAAATCCGAAAAAATAAACCCGGTTCCAGCCTCCATTATCATCTTCTTCATAAGGTAATTTTTAATTCTTTAATGAGTACCAGTGCTTCCAAATTTTAAACAACTCGATAAATAATGCATTATTTTGGAAATTTTGATCTGCTTTAAAATAAAAAGCAAAAAAAATCGTTTATTCTACATTGTGGTACAATAAATCTGTTAAAACCGTCAAATTCGCAAAGTTGGTCGAAACTCGTCGAAAACTATCGAAACCCATCGAAACTGTCGAAATAATTTCTGAAAAGTTTCGACTTTTGCCAAAATAAGTTTAAGGTTTTGCCCCGCAACTATAGTATAGCCTTTATTTTTTATTTGTTTCGTTATTAGTTAGTATTATTTATTTTTCAATTTTTTTTTCACTTCTCCTTTTAATTAACTTGACTATAAAATTTATGGCATTTCTTCACCATATAGTCATATAGAATATTTTATCAGAGAAAAAAAAAATAAATCGGAATTTATCGAATAATTTCCACGTAGAAATAATATATTATGCAGATAATATTACGAATTTGTACTAAACTTAAAACATTTAGAAAATTTTAGTTGAGATCAAGCAGGTATTATTATACAGTTACATCATCATTATTATTATCATTATTCTTAATTTTTTTTTACAGGTTAACAATTTATTTTATTTGTTATTGTAAAATATTAAGTATTATAATCAACCATTTGCTAATTTACATTTGAAAATATCAAATTTATTGATAAATTTTTTGTAACTTTAATTTGAATAAATTAAATTATCAGTCATGTACTATTTGATTATTTTTGCTATTATAATTAATTACTAATCATTTACTTTGTTATTATGTCTAATTGTAAATTACTAATAGATA